ATTAGGAGTTTAGTCTTTAAAGTGATTATGGATTTTATGTTCATACCAAAGGTTCCTATACTGAGCCGCTTTGCTTATGCCTCTTTAACTTACAAAAAAAACAAAGTCACAGGTATTACTTTTGTGGAAGTATTTCAGAAAATTAATGCTTTAATCCCGATCATCTAGTGAATGAACATATTCCATATTAATGTTTTCACAATGCCTTCCTGCTACAGCAACCACACATTCTCTACTTTTAAAACCTATCACTTATTAATCCTGTGGGAACATTTTAACTTGATCATGGCATGGCCTCTGTCTTCCTCCTCTGTGCTCTGACTGTAGAGAAACAAATCTTCCACTGTGATCTTATCAGCGCTTAAACAGACCATCCTACAATGATCTCATCCGACCTGAGCGTACCTGAACCCCTGCACTGCAATGTTGACCCGTCACCTTATCAACCTGTCCAAGGCCGTATTTTAAAATAGAAAATGATGTCACGATGACTTACACAAAATGACACAGAATGACACACATCATGCTAACTAGCCTCTATGCTAGCTACAGTCTAATTAGCTATAGCATCAACATGGTGTACCACATTTCTTTTAATATTTGGTGTACTTCTGCATGACGTTAAGTCCTCTAGAGTTTCTCAAATACGTCACCCTGTAGTCTAACTTTATTACTCATTAAAGCTTTGGTAATAACGGGAGTGTTGGACTTTGGTCAGCTGAGAAGTATTTCGTTTGCAGCTCTAACTTACAAGCACCTTTTTTGGGGGGGCTAAAATATACCTTTATCAAGCGTTGTTATTCCTGTTAATTAAATCTTCCCTTTCCTCAATAACAATGCATACAACATTTGCTTGTAGTTGATCACATCAGTTGATTTAAATCCTGATCAAGCTGTTAGTGGTTTGTACATAGTAGCATTACAAATCCTCCTTTTTTATCTGATTACGGTCTGAGTCAATAATTTCCACGTTAAAAAAACACACTGTATTCCCCATCCCTTAGGATGATTCATTCAAAGCTATTTCCTTAAACCATTTATTTCCTTGAAACCAACAATGCCAGTGAAAGCCTCACCTCATGCCGGTACAAAGGAAGAGGTGGAATAACTTCGATAACAGGAAAAAGCAAACATCACAGACCAGAACAACAGAAAGTAAAAAATGGTTTAACTACGACACCTTCCTGCCTCATGCTCGACCATTGTCTCACTGTGACACCTTGACTAGATCTCAAAGTGATAATGATTTAATTATAGCGCCATTAGGACGTTAGATAAAGTCATTTTTTATGAAATCACACATTTTAAGTGTGTATTCATTTAATGTTTGCAAGCAGTTTGTAATGGCTGCAGAATTCACCTGTACGTATCTGGACCTCATCTCATTTTGGCTCACGTAGCCAAACCTGTTCGTTCATCCTTGCAGAGGTGGGCTGGGTGAAAGGTCACTAAAAGAATGTAAACATCCATGTAAAACCCAAACACACTTTTCCAATGTTAAATGAGCGACCAGCACATGCCACTCCTAGCCTCTAACCCCTAACTTATTGCTTCTTTTAAATCTATAATGTCCAAAAATGACTTCACTGTTCAATCATATTTTATTTTGTTAAACTCCTTTTTTCTGCGGCAACACTCGATACTGTGAACACATTTTCTATCACCTTAGGGGCTGAAGGAAAGAGACACAGCCATACGTAAATGCAGAGAAAGAGTTCACGTTTCATCCTGCCGGGTACGTTTACATGCATGGCCCTTGGCTTTGTGACCCTCCTCTATTTTATAACCTTACCCTTCTATTTTCTTCTTTTGTATCCGGCGTCTTTTGTTCTTTAAATCATCCTGCATACACACACAACACCTTTACTCACACCATCATACACACAATCACCTGTATGCAGCTACCACTACATGTGTGTATTGCCACATGTTTGAATGTTTTGTCTTTGTGTATTGCATTAGATGAGTTCTAACAACCACCAGTGATGCATGACTCTCCCCGCAGAGTGACATGTGTTGAGTTTCGAATCAACAGGTGTTAATGTGGGCATCTGTGTGCAGAAGGTGGATGCATGTTGTTAGTTTCTTTGCCTCAGTGCACATGAATTGTCTGTGTCTTTGTGTTTATACACATGCATTACACCTACACGCACGTCTTCTCTGCACAAATGTCTCAATAAGGCGCTCTTAGCAGCCTTCAGGTCAGTCTGTGGGTGCAGCAGGGCATCCAGCAGCAGCACAGAGAGGCCAGTGTGCTCCTGCTGCTCCCACCATCTGACCAATGTACCGCATGAGTGCTTCAGTTTCAACGACAGCACAAAACACCAGTGTCTGGTTTCCCCCGAAGCAACACCGCCACAGCCACGGGCGCCTTTTGTCCCCACTTTAAATAAAACATAGGCCAGTCATTAGGTAGAAAGGCTCTCCTGTGCATAATTCAGGGCCAGGTATCAATTTAAGGCGAGGAGATAAGGTTAGGAAAAAATAATACCGTGTTGTTCTCACACTACTGTCAAACAACAGGCATTGCATGGGTAATGTGCAACATGGAAAATATGAAAATGGAAATTAAATGTGGTGACAACAGTGGTTTGGGTTGCTGTGTGTCTCTAGTCCACATTATGTATCCATTACAGGGCTGCAATTACAACAAGTCATGTGTAACATCAATCAATATGGTAATTGTTTTCTCAGAGAACAAGGTGAAGTTAAATTGCTTCTATCACTGGAACATTTAAATATAAGGTTTGATATGATTCATTTAGTTAATTTAAATTGTATCCATTGTAAACTATTGGGATTATGTGAACGTCTATAGGGAAACGCATATAAAAGGCAGCCAAACTACTGCACTAAACACGAAAATAAAGACATACAAAATTACAAAACGTTCATACAGGTCTACTTAGGCAGAAGTTGGAAATACAATTAAATATCAATTCTATGTTGAAAACCAATTTCCCAGTTGGATTATTAAATTATTTCTGATTTTCAAAAACCAATGACAGCATTCGTTTGCGCATGCATTGCTCAGTCAAAAGGAGGGGGGTTTTTTAAACCGAGAAGCATCACAACTTTAAAACTACAGATACAAAGAGATGCTGAAAACAACATATTTTCATAAAGCTATATTTAGTAGAAGTAGTAAGCAACAGGTTGACAGTTGACAACCGAAACTGAACAGCCACGGCGATACTAGATGCACCTGCTGCTACCAAAGTCCCCTTTACGTACCTGCTTATTTCCAAACACTTGGCTGTTTTCAACTTGTACTCCTTGTTTCTTTTCGGGTGTGTTTTCACTTCTCGAGTGGATAACGGTGAGAAAAAACACATAAATTAACGGATTAATTTCACTTTTTTGTAGTAACGTGCTTCGTCGCCTGGGCAATGAGCTTTCCTTTTTCCTTCGCTCGCAGTTAGCTTACCTTATTCCCTGCAGAGAGGGAGAGAATCGGATGAAAGGTAACAGAGGATAACGTCGACCAATCAGATGAGGCGGGAGGCGGTTCCTTTGGGAATACACGACACCCCATTGGTCCATCCGTGTTAATGGCGGAATAGTGAAAAGGGGGATTTCTCTGTATTGTTTTTTATGTTCTTCAGTTCACTGGAAAGAGGCAGAAGCCAAAACTGAACAGTGCCAGTTTAACTGTTTTACTGAACTCACTGAAAGATACATTTGATAGGAGTAAACGAACGTTATAATATTTACAAATCATACAAGTAAAACTGACTAGAATAACACAAAATAAAATAAAAAGTGGACACAACAAAGAGTCTACATAAAATGTTCTCAGGGCAGCGCAATGTGGATTGGAAGGAGCTAATCATTTCTAAGAGGCTCTGCAATGCAAAGCTATATAAACTTCTCTGAATACCTTTGTTTCATTCATGCACAAATATTTACTAAGCACCATCCATTGCTTATTGAAACAGGCAAACAAATGAAGCTAAAATGTGTGGATGACACAGGTGGTTAGAAGTAATATTCTTTTAATCAGCAGGCATTATTTATTTTACAGTTAAAATATATTTGATATATTTTATTTTAGTGCAAGGTCAAATTATGTTCCAATTACAAAGCGTATAGGCCTACATTAGATTAACATCAAATTAGCATCAAATATACCAAAGTATTTACATCATTATTTTTCAAATCATAACTAGTATAATATAATAATTTGGGGCGAAGCATTGTTTTAAGTGTCAAAAAATATATAGATAACTAGGATCCAGGTTATATTTAAATGACCATACGTTTTCTTCAGTTGGCAATGACTATTTATCCTCTGTAAACTGTATTGTACTGTACAGTCAGACTTTAAAGCAAGCCTTTGTTTATTGGAAAGTGCTCTTTTTTTGTTGAAAGGTACAGGATAGCCATTTTTAAGATATGCAATCCAGGAAACTTTTTAAAATATAACGACTAAGACGGTCCAATACAAGTCCCAGTGACTGAAATTAAAATCCAATGACACTTAGGCTGAAATAGATCAGACGACAGTAGCAACTTATGACCACTTGGTGGCAATTTATTCTTCAAGAGCTACTGTAAATCACAGGCCGGATCTGTTGAGAGCCTGTTGTGTCTGTGTAGAGCCAAGTTAAGTAAAACAAAACCAAAGACTCCTTTATGAAATACAATGCATTGCAATAAGTGTATCCATGTAAAACAGATTTCTAATCTAAAAATGATATATATATTTTATATTTAGTTTTGGCCTCAAGTGGCACTATGGATCACGTGAGGATAAGCAGCATGTTTAGCTGAGTAATCATTGCTTATGTTTGTTAAGTTTTTTGTTCTGTAAATCATCTCAAAAATATCCAATGTCTAACTTGCTACCCCTTTCAGTTTGACCTTAAAATATATCAAAATATCACCTGTTGCAATGAATAATCTTGAACTAGAATAAACCATTTATGAATGCCTCAAGTGTTATTATGTTTTCGATAATAACAACCTTCAGCTGCTTAAATAAAATGAGTAACACTCCATTAAACATATCCATATATATTTTATTCTCAATACGGCAAAATACAAAGAATATTCAGGACAGACTCTCATTAGTCACAATTAATACTCACTTCACAAGAATGCTTTAAATTACATAACCTAAGTTTGAAGATCAAACTCATTGAGTACCTTTAATCATATTGCATCCATCATATATAGTATCTCTATCATCAGTTCTCTTAAAACTAATCCAATTTAGACTAATGTACATAGTGTATGCTGCTGGCCTCCATTTAGAGACGACTTTTTAGAAAAAAGGTGTTATACAACATACTGTATAAACTGCTACAACTGTTTTGACCTGTAGAGAAATACCTGTTTCAAAAGACATGTTGGACCAATTGTTCAAAAGGGACACATAGTAAATACATTGCTCTCGTGAGGAGGAAACAGACGTGGTTTTAAACAACAGACTGTACACACCATCCATCCATCCATCCATCCCATGAGATCAACAATATACACTTCATGAAAAGAACACGCCTCCATATCAAATACAGAGAAGACAAAATATTCGCACTTGGATTTAGAGACATTAATGATTTTGTAGCGACCATGGTACTGGGAGACAATGAAGCAGAAGACAAAGAATACAAGAGCGGTAAGAAAAAAGGAGTGAGAAATCAATGTGATATACAGTGTTAAGAGACTCGGATGTACTCTGTAACAGCTTGGAAGAAGTGAACAAAAAAAGCCCAGAAGGAAAAATAATGTGCATAAAGTATCTCACAAGATGTATTTACAGCATTTTTAATTTTCAATAAAAATGTCAACCTGTAGTAGAAATTCACCCTTAAAGAAATGTTATATTTACAATTTATACATTTGTATTTAAATAGAAACATGCAAGTGTTAACATCTTCCTACCGAATGTCAAAAAAAACTCATCTTACCCTGGATTCTTTCAAGTTAGAATTAATATTAATTACTACTTACAAGGAAATCTCATCATGAACAACCCCGATACATTTACATCATCTTATCTCATAAAATGGTACTCCTTAAAATGGCAAAATAGAAAAAAATATTAAGCAAAGGGGCAGAAAAATAAATAAGTGTGAGTAGCAAACTGTTAAAAATTACTATAATGCTAAATGTTGTACATTTGACTACAAGATAGTGTAGGGAACACAAGGCGCGGACCTGTACTTACAAAGTGTACCAGTGTATGAAGACATTTACTGGGCTGGCAAAACCCACAGAGTAATTCCTATGAGAAAAGTGGCCTCCAGCTTTAAGTACAAAATGGCTCAAGCCATCGGTGTTTGGTTATAAAACAGACCTATATACACATATATACTAAACCAGTAGACAAAATTGCAAAAGCTAAAGGCATTGGACACTTGAGTTCAATAGGTTTCTCACTGAGGCGGGAAAAAGAAAGAAGCTGGGAAAAAAAAATCCCAAGCCAAAATATTTCATTTATTCCAAAGAAACAGATCCTTTTTTGTTGTTGTAAAAATCCTGCATAGATTAAAATCATACCTCGTCTGGCTTTCTCTTTTTCAAGTGCCAGAGGAAATAACAGTATCCCCTCCTACAATAAAGACCAGGGAGCCAGTGATAAAAAAAAATACAAAACATAACCCAAAAAGGTCAAATCTGAGCCAAATAGTACAATTACTAATATGTATTTTGTCTTGAGATGTAAAGGGTGATGGATGAAATGCACCAGATTTATGATTGAAAATGTAAGAAAGGTGCTAAAAAGTTAAGACTTCTGTTGCGTTCTTTTTGTCAAACTGATCCCATCATTTATCAAAATAAACCAATAATAGTTTTAATACCATTTGACCCAGGCTTGAACTTTTCCAGCATGTTTTAGAAGGAAGTGATTTAACAAGTAAGCACAAAAAAAGGACATTCCTTCATGTCATTGAGTGTTACCAAACACCCAAGTGTCATAACAGCTTCATTCAAAAAAACAAACAAACACCACTTTACCCTTGATGACAACCAGAAAAGGTCAAACTAGTAACAGAAATGTTCATATCTGGATAGTTGGCATACAGTGTTACTCCGCCTAACTACTGGCTGACATGTTTCATATCCACCATCTTGTAATAAAAGTATGGATACAATTTAAATAGGAAAAATTACATTACAAATACTTTGCATCTCATAACCCTTGGTTTAACCCTGTTTTAAAAGAATGCATTTGAAAAGTTATACTTCTGCTTGGCCAGAGAAAAAAACAACAAAAAAAAACTGTTTGGTATATAAATAAAATCTTTATTGGCCTGTTATAGTCCTTTTTTGAAATATATATATAATGATAGATTTAAAAACTCTTTGTTCTATAAAAGCAACACTGATGAGTTTGCCTCTAAGTATTTCCTTCCGTATGGATTTGCTTTTATTGTGTCAGATTAGTGGTCACTCAGGCCTAGCTTTTATAAACGGCAATGTAAATAACTGCATTGTATATGTGGAAATGAACTTCAATACTTAAGACACTCCCTGCTGTTACTTAGAAAAATACACTCTGAGCAAACAAAGGAGATCAAAAACAGAATAACACTGTCTGGATGCGACTCTTCCTGGAGGATATTTCTCAATGAACAATGTAGCTATGAGTGAAGAAACCTTTTATAGGAAGTGACCTGTATTCTGGAGCTTCAAAAGACCGCAAACCTCTTACAGAGAACATTAAGGTGATATATTTGTATTAAGGTCGAGAGTCTAAAAGCCCTTGCTAGCAGCCTCTAGAGGCCATGCTGCTCCTTGCACCAAACTGGAGTACAGTGGTTTGTAATAATTGACCAACATTTTCTAGCAGGGCTTAAAAGGAGTTAGTGATTCTGGAAGGATGACACTGTTAAAAATCCAATACACTGACCGATAAAGAGAACATTTATAAATATGTGCATGTCAGAAGTATTAATCTGCTGTGCACAGTGGCCTTTCCTACAGTCCGGCCTTAAAACTTTCAGGCATTTTTCAAGATAAGCTCAGCGCTTCTGAAGGAAAGATAAATTAAAATAGTGTAATGCTTCATTTGTGGCCAACGTCCTCTTTGCTCTAAAATACATTAACAGGACTTGATTTTCAACTGAAAGTCTGCAATTTAAAATCATAAATGTTGCCAGCTTCAACTGCAAAATGCTTAAAAATGCATAAAATGAGTTTAAAGGGAAAATAAAAACAATTGATTCAGATATGAGGGGCGTCTGCTTTCCTGTTGCTCACATACAAGGCACAAAAATGATAAAGAGAAACCTTCATTTTAAAGCACCTTTGGTGTTTATGGGAGGTACTTTGGTGAGACAAAGTCAAATAAAAAGTTAAAAAGCCAAAAGTAGCCTAAAAACCAAACCCCATTTTTAAGCGATTCCATAACAAATAATTCACCCAGCGCTTCTGTGCCGAATAGATAAAACCATGGCCTTCAAAGATTGTATGAATGCCGATATATGAAGCATAAGCTTTTTGTTCCTGTGCTGCAGTTTGGATGCTTCTCCCTGTGTAGACTGTCGACGGTGTGAGATGCTCTGGATTGCTCAGTGTTTTTGGCAAGCTGGTGTAGAAAATGGACACAGTGTTGGAGATATGTCTGAGAAGTTCATCAACGTGTGTGTACATGGAGGACCAGACGTGGACTGTGTGTGTGTGTGTGTGCGTACAGTACATCCTTTAAATGTGTGTCTGTCTGTGAGGGCATGCGTGTGTGTCTTTGAGCACATGTTGCAGAGGTGTGTGTGTGTGTGTGGAAGCAGCGCACAGGGAGGGAGTCCCTGCTAAGGAATAAGCTTAGCGTCCAGTCGCAGCCAGTGGAGGCCCTGCCGCGTGTAACGCACCAGTTCTGTCATGCTGCTGGTGTTGAAGATCAGAGGACCCATCACCTTGTCTAACTCCAAGAAGAACTCTGGGGAAACAAAGACGGGCCAATCAGAAACCGTTTCATTGCCAAGTATGTGAACATGTACGAGGAATTTGCCTTGGTGTATATGGTGCATACATGAACAGTTAGAAGATACATTGTAAGACAAGGCCCAAAAGAGTTAACAAAAAACTACGATAAAATCAAAAATATAGAGAAATATTGAAATGAAATATAGATATACCAAAAAACGATGTACAGTAGACAGAATTATCGTGATAATAAAATATGTGCAGTATTGTTATAAAGTATTGGTAGTAAGCTGTGCAGATATTAAAAGAGGAGACAGAGTCAGTTTAAAAGCCAGTGACTTGAGGCCTGTTCAAGTTGGAACAAACAATATCATAGATCCTAATATTGTGTCCTCAAACTCCTCGTCATTATACATCCTTGCTTGAGTAAATGTCATTAACGTAACCATGCCTCTGTTCTCAGGCGGTTTACCTTTCTGCTCCTTGGACAGTTGCTCCGCCTGGTCCCAGACCTCTGTGGCGTACAGGAAGTTGGATGTGACCTGGACGTAGCTGGCAGCCATCTGGTGGATCCGCTGAGGTATGGTCACTGAGGAGCTGGCGCTGCTGCTGCTGCTGACCGACGAGTAGCTGCCGGCTGTGCCTGGCGACAGTTTGGGAGACACCGGAGAGGGCATGCCTGCTGCCTTGCTGCTACACAAACAGAAACAAACAGAAAGGGTTCAGAAACACGTTTGGTACAAAGGCAAAGAATGTTTAAAAGACACCCGACCGCATGACAGTAATATAAACTGAGCTGTAAATCATCCATTGTCATGTCTGCTCAGCTTCAAGCCAACAAGATGTTAAACTCTGTCCATAATATTATTTTAAAACAGTATTTCCATTAACTTTCTGTGAAATTCTAAAACCTTTGAAATGTCGGAAAATGTCATTTGAAGTACTTTTTTTTCCTAGCAATCAACGCAGATGTTTCCTTTACAATCACATCTAAAAATCCAATAGGCTAAATTAGCACACAACTTACTTTCCCATTCCAGGAGAGGGAGCCTGGGTGTTACTCAGAGAATTCTGCCAAACAAAATGAGAGTGGAGAACATTATGTACACAGCAGGACACACACGGACAGAAAAGAAACATACATTCATGGAATTTAAATTGTGCTCCTGTGGTTTGGAAGGTTTCCCCGAGCAACACTGGATTATAGCTTGGACAAAAAAGAAAAAGTACCTTTAAGTGTTCTGTGAGTGTTTTGGAGTATTTTAGTGCGCTGTCCTTCCTCAGCTTGAATAACCGCAGGTAGAGAAGAGACTGGCATCGTAGGCTGTAAAGAGAAATGGGTTCATATTGATCTAAAACTCTCCTTTAATAAAATAGCAAGGACTTTTAGATGAAGGCTAAGAAATGGGCAAAACCGCTGACAATAAAATTCATTATTGCTTTTGCACACTTACCAAAGCACAGCTAGCCTTTTGTCTGCTGAAGTAGCATCTGGAGCCAGGTAGCTTTTTAACTTCATAGTGTATCTGAACAAACAGCGAGAACAACTGTTAGGTTTATGGTAGAATCAGCTTACAAGTTATTAAAGAAACACTTATTTCAGTCAAAGTAACTTTTAATACAAAGAATTTCTGTGATAATATTCATATTGATTTAGAAACTTTTCAAACAATGTGACACAGTGCAAAGCATCTTTTTTTAAATGTATTATTACAAACGGTCTTCTTACTTTTCAAACACTTGCGCCTACAATACCCACAATTAAACTTAATCCTACTAAATACAGTTCATTTGAATATCTGGGGGTGTTATGGTAGTTGCAGTATATGTATAGAGATGAGGAGTTGGATACAGTTGTCTGGCAAAAGCACTTCCCTATTCTCAAACTTGTAGTCTTCAGTCCCAACTGTCGCTGACTCAGGTGACATGACCAAAAGCAATTCATGCATGCTGCCAATACTACCAAAGACCTGAAAAACGACTGATGTGTACAGTTGGTGGAGTTTTCCTTTAGCGTGACGATGATTTAGAGGTTTACGTTCTTACTTGATAAGCTCCACCGTTTCAGCATACATGGGGAAGGGAGACTTTGCTTCCTGGGCGCTCTTCTCCAGAGCATTTCCACATTCAACGAAAGACACCACGGCATCCAGATAGTACACTGCCTTCTCAAAACGATCCAACTGCAAAGTGGGGACAGGGACAAAGAAAACATTAAAATCTCTGTTGAAGGGGCATCCTGAGTGTTAGTGAGCATGAACTAGTCTCATATAACGCAGACCTTTCTGAAACTGTCACAGCTGCAGAACAGGTCTAAATGTTGCTCACATGACTTCTCATTTGACATGGTTTGAGCATGTCACATAGCTGACATGGTTGCGTATGATTTTGTGTGGAATACATACAATTTGTTTGTGTTTAAAAAATAAAATGCTAAACTCAATGATGCACCGTAGTGTGGGCTAATGAACTGAGATCTAGGTACATTATAGAGAAATTGAATAAGTGTCCATAATGGATATAATGAAGAGTTATATTTTGTGAGAGAACAATGAGAAATGTTAGGAACTATTTAATTGTCAGCATATCATGTGTGTGTGTTTTTGCATCATTGGAGATTTTTCTCCAATGATACTTTTTAATAGTTACTTTTTACATTTGGAAAGCAAAAGAAAACAGTAACAAAGGAAATTGTCAAGGACTCTGAGTGGAAACAACATGCAGCAGAGTGAGGTATGTGATAATCCTCAGGTAAGTAACTGACACCAGACGAGGAGTTACAAATAGTCACCTGTTCATAATAATACATTTCATTTTCAAGCGCTTTTTCAGGTGCTCAAAGACGCTTTACAGTGGTGATGAAACGAGATGAATAGAATATAAAATTATTAAAACAGCAACACATTATAAAAGAATTAAAAAATATATATTAAAAGAGCAACACAACATAATTCAGAAATTAAAAGCCAGCCCGAAGGCGTGTTTTGGTCATCTTTCAGTGACCCATCAACAAAAGTATTATATACATTTTTGCTTGTTATGCGATATTGTGCTCAAAATGTGAGAGCACAGAGACTAAAATGGCTCCGGAAACTTTATGTCGGAGGTATATACCCCACCCAGTACAATACACACTACATAGCAGCAACGTGCAGTCAGGGGAGGCAGAGTTACTCCAATGTAACGGGAAAAAAACTAAAGAAAAACTAAATAATAATAAAATCTCACCAATGATCTGTGTTGTAAATGTGATTTCTGTATAATTCCAATTTTATAGTCAAAATCGGCAAATTTGCCGAGCTCCGCTACAACTAGGCTACGTGGGAGCGATGAGAAGTGAGGCAGGGACGAGCTCTGCCTCACGTAACCCTACACCAACTGGCTGGAGCACGGGCACTAATTTAGCGCGACCACTTATTTTGTGAGCGCGCTCAAGCCAGTTACTGTGGGGTGAGGTGAGGCACAGATGAGCTCTGCCTCACCTCAGAATGTTTCACCCCACAGAAACTGTCTGGAAAGCGGGCACTAAGCGCATGCCTGTTACCATCTCACTGTAGGTCACCAATGTAATGTTTGTAGATCCCTTTATTACATTTATCCTCGCCATCCATAGTCTCTAAATAACTTATTTCACATAGATATGATATTTAGGCTCGCTGGTCTCATCGTACAACGGCAATGAGAAAGCACCAGGGGAGGCAGCCATAACCTCTGCCGCACTGAAGGGGGCGCACATGAGCCCACAGGTTCTTGTTGCTACTGTTATTCTACACAGAGACGGTAGACGCAAACAACAAACTAGACTTTTGAAACTAGAGAGATAAGGAGGACTTTTACAAAAAAGTAATAGAGATTTTTTGTCCAGAAGGATAGGCAAATGGACTTCATCTTCAAGTCAAGGTAAGACCACAATTGTAATGAAAATGGGATCTTGCTAAGAGAGAACGATCCAATATTTAGATGTTGGGTATCCTTTTGTTGAACGGTCTGTTTCAAATGAATCGAAGCATCAGACTAAAAAAGCCTATTTGTAAATCTGACTCTGAAAGAGTCAGTGCCTCACCAGCCATGAACCTCACCGCACGTCATTGCTACATAGTCACTTGAATATAAAATGTGTTTCTCCGGGATGCATTAATCTCTATGCAAAACGTCACCAGGATGTTGTAGGTCTAGAACTTGTGAAACAACACGCTCCTCTCACTGCTTTGCATGCAGTAACATCGGGGCCTCTCGATTACATACTGTAGGTAAATAGTCCTCAGGCTGTTGCTCTTACCAGTGCATCTGCATTGTGTTTAAGTTTCTTGGCTTCTTGTAGGTAGTGATCTGCCGAATGGACCCTGAAACAAAATTAAAAACAGGTCAAACAAATGTTCATTACTTGGCTGGATTTTTTGAAAAGCTTGTTTGATGGTTAGGTTTCAACATTCATTTCCTCTTGGCACAGAACTACACCTACAAATGAATTACATCAAGCCCCCAAAAATAAGACAATACTAGTCGTTTCTTTTCCTCTGCATGAAAAAGACCGATCCAACAGAGAGCCTTTTAAAATGGAAATGCACGCCGTCCCTTCTGCATGCAGGCACATCTATTCATGACCTCAACCAAACCTCCTACAGCTTTATGCATCAAAGGCAACTCTAGATCCCCACAGCAGGTCTTTCTGCGTACCCTGCTGAGGGGTTATCCACAGTGGAAAGAGCTCTTCTTACCTGTCCTCAAACACCAGCTTGGATCTCTGAGCCTTGGAGCCTTCGGTGGTGAGCGGAGGCACAGCCAGCTGGTTATCGCAGCTCTTTGAGGATTTCTCCTGCAGAGACAGCAAGCGGGAGGGAATAAAGTTTCAGGTCGAAAAAGGGGACTTGAAGTGGACGATAAAATGGAGAACAGGGTGAGATTGAGGGTCTCTGGAGCTAGAAATGATGTGCGCTCTTAAGGATAATGGGAATGAACTATATATAGAAGATGTTCTGGAACAAGCCCTTCTTCCCAGAACTCCCCAGGGGAAATGTTGCACAGTTGGCAAACATGATGAAAGATTGCACTTGCCGGTATCCGCAATGCTTGCCAGTTATTAACACGTACAGCTAATGCCCGGTGATAGTGTTACACTCACCTTGCCCTCGCGTGTGCTGCGTCCCTTGTCCTCTCCTTTTCTGTGTTTGGAGGAGGAGTTGCCCTTGGTGCTGAGGCTTCCCTCCTTTCCACTTCCTGTCCCGCTGGACAAAGAGGTAGAGGACTGGCTGACTGTCCTCTTTCGACTCGGGTGTTCTGCCTTGGGCGTTCGCTGAAGACCCGACATGGAAGGGGAGGGGGCTGGCTCTTCTTTCTTCTCCAACGACCTCTTAGACCTGGAGGGATATTCATTGTCATTGGAGCACAGCATTTTTGTTTTGATTACTTAAACAAACAAGCTTTGCTGCAGTTCTAAACTCAACAGAATATTAACACTCAGAAAATGTAATATGTGACCCGCTCTATCGAAATCAGTCGGAAGTCGCAACGGCTCATTTCAAAATAAACGTGGATTTGCGTAAAAAACAATTTTTTCGGGGTTCGGGTGTTTTGTTTCATTTTAAACAAACAAATTCTTGGCTTTCAGAATATGAAACTTTTATTTCCAAAATCACACGATAAATACATTTTTGAAGCTTGTGAAGGGAAGAAGAGGCACCTCCCACTCGCAATCTGCTCTTCCGCAGCGCCGCTCCCCCTCCCTCCGGCTGAAATTATGAATGTAAGCGTATAGTAATCATAGATAACACGGCAGGGTCCGTTACAGTTTGTTTTCATCTGATTTCAAATAAACAAAGTCTTGGCTTTCAGAATATTAAACTTGTTTCGGCAAATTCAGATGATGAATACAACTTTGTAGCTCGTAACGGCATAATTACAAGCGGAGAACGGAGTAACTTAACGTCACAGCAGGCATAACAACAGCCGGTGTTTCTCGTGAGGGTTTTCCCAGGGAAACAAACGCAATACACACAAACGCAAACGCAAAATTACACAAACACACACGAGCTTCTCCCAGACCAGTCCAAACGAAAATATCTTCCCTCCGTAGTATTTTGATCATTTGCTAATAATCAATCAGATCGATGGATTCCAGAAGAAGAGAAAACTTTGAAGATCTTTTTCTCAAAATGATGACTCGGTGACAGTCATTATATTAATGTGACATATTTCGCTTAATATTTGGAGTACAAAAACAATCCTGATATCATTAGAAAGCTAGGAATATCCTCTTTCCAGCAGTGTATACAACTCAAAATGTGTCTTCGGGTCAATGCGACTGATTTCGATAGAGCAGGTCACATATTACCACTTAAGATAAACACTTATAATAATAAAGGTTAAAAAGGCTGCAAGGTTACAGAAAAAAATACCCCATTTAACATTTTATTTTTTAATGCTCATTTCTGTTTTAGGGTTTATTTTGTAAAGTGTAAGAAAAAAGATGGGAAGCCTGTAAAGAATTCAAGTACTACTGTATCAAGTGTCCCGGCTGTGCAGAGGGTTCTACTGTTAATGCACACCAGGAGAAAAAAAGAACACTCACTCTTTACTGCTGTTTTTATGATGAGACAGGGACTTGTCCTCCAGCTTGCATCTCTTGCTCTCTGGCTTGAGGCCTTCTTCATCGTTCTAAAAGACACAAAGATTCTCATTTAGGAGTGTGTCTACATGTTTCTGTAGAGATGTGATTCTAAGAGAGTCTAAGTCACTACAATTATTACAGAGGACAAACCACATCCTAAGGGTCTCCAGCTGGCTGTTACACCCTAACGTATCACAAAAGCAGATCTGGATCTCCACCCAAATTGAATCAATTGTTTATTGGATGACGGCATTTTCTTTCTTTAATGATAATCTGTTTAGAGGTTATTTGAAGAAATACATCACTCTGTTGGAAGGACACTCAAATGGAAAAAACACAACTTCTGTTTTAAAAGTAATAATGTGCATAATCATACTGAAGATATAACCCTCTGAAAAGGGGGTTTCTTTGAAGCGAGACATATCTTTTAGTATGAAACCAGCAGAGAATACAGAGAGGAATTTGATCCATTAGTCTCATACCTTGTGTTTCCTCTTGCCCTTGCTCGAGCTCTTCTCAGAGCTCTGTTTGCTGAAGTCTTTGCTGTCCCTGTCTAGAGAGTCGTCCCTCTCCACTTTTATCTCTACAGGCTCCTTGTAGGGCCGCCCTGGGATCCTCGATAGCAAGCTGAGATCTATAAGAAAGGGGAAGGAAAGGGAAGGGTAAGCTTCAATGTGATCCAAAGAAAAGAAAGGCTTCAGGAGTGTGTGCTTCGAGCTGGACAAGTACACACAATAGAAAGCAGAGAGCATTTGAATGAGAGTATATGAGCAGCTTTGACTAACCTATCTTCACTAGTAAAACCTGCTGCTGGGGTTGCCTTGCAGGGTAACGCTCCTCAGGGTCACTGAGTGGAGACAGCAGCTCTTTTTCCTCCATTGGAGAAAACACACACACAGGGGTCCTGATGCTCTCTGTGTACTTAGGGGTCTGTGATGACGACGGGATGCTGTCGTTCCCCTCGGAGTCTGACGACGAAGAGTCCGTATCGACAAACTCGCGAGACTTCTGGGAGGTCTTCGTCGGTGCCTTGGCTTTTCGTTTATCAGCGGTTGTGGTGACGGCAGCAGCGGTTGGCCGGGGGGAAGATTTGGGTTCTTTTTTGATGGTTGGTTTGCGAACACCTTTAGTAGCAGCTATGCGTCGATTAGGGGGGATCTCGGGGGCCGGCTCACTCTCCACCCTCAGACCACCCTTAGGCTCCTCCACCACTGGGAGCTTCTCAGACTTTTTGGGCTGCTTTTTACCCACACTCCTTCGTGCACTTGTGCCACCCTCGCTCTGGGCGGGGGATTTTTGCCGCCCACGGCCACCCTCTGCACCCTTTTGTGCCGCCCGTAGGTCCCTGCTCGGGGTGGGTGCTGCTGAGTCTTTTGAGCTCCCTCCCTGGCTGCTATAGCCTCGTCCTGAGCCATTATCTCTGCCCTCCTTCTTGCACTTGGTTGGAACATTGTTGTCCACTGGAGAGGCTGGGGAGAACTGCTTGGCCTTCTTGAACCAGTTGTCCAGCTGCCACTTGTTGGCCATAGGTTGCTCAGGCTGAAGAGAAAGCAGATGAAGACGTTGTTTGAGTAAATGAAAATGGTCATGCATGAAACCTAAACAAAAAAAACCTGTAGGAAAAGATAGCATTGTGGCAAGAAGAAAGAACAACGAATGCCTTGTGACAATTACAACCACAAATCCTACGCATGGAATACAGAGTAACATTTCTAAGCAGCACTACCATGTTGTACAGAGCTACTGTCAGGTCTTTACCTCAGGGGAGGCGGGTCTCTGGTGCTCGGTGGCCTCGCTGTCCGTCGTGCTGCTCTCGCTCTCGCTGTCGGACCCCGAGCTGCTCTCTGAGCCGCTGTGGCTGCTCGAGTCATCCCTCGACTGCTCCGCACCTTCACTGTTATTGCTGTTATCACGGAAAAGAGTCAAAGTGTGTAAAAGGTGTGCAGTAAAGTCCAAGTCGTGTAAGGCAAGCTAAAAGGATGCATACAAAAATAAATGTGTGTGTTTCTCTGTGTGAGCGCCACCTCTGTGCTAGTTAACATTAGGTAAGTGTTTAATATGCTGATTATCTCTGGACATCAACACCGATCTACAGCTGAGGATTATTCTTTACAAATATATAAATACAAGAGTTACATCATTTGCACATAATGTAGCTTTGTTTTTCCAAACAAACCAATTGAGAATCAGCCTGAGTAGGAATGAGTGTTAACCTAATTAAACAAGCCCCTGTGGAGATACCCTGTAAAGTGAATCCCTGCCAAACCAACAAAAAGAGCAATAGTCTCAAACTTTGAGGTTTGAAAACCTCCAACATCAGTTGATTAATTGTGGTATTTTAAATCAATTAAAAAAAACCTACATTTATTTTCAAACCAATAATATCCACAAGGGAACAAAATGGGAACAACAATAAAAAAAAGCTAACCAACTTTTGCCCCATATCTTATAAGTTAAAGAACATACCATCACCAATCCCTTTGAATATATTGTAAGCTGACACTAAACCACCATGGCCTCAAAACTCCTCCTATGTCCCCGCCACAATCACAACAACAACAACTCTGTATTCAAATTCAAGTGAAAGTACTCTGTGCTTTACCTTGCTGATGTGTTCCTTGAGGCGTTCTTGGCAGACTCCTGTTCTACATCACTGTCCTCACTGCTGCTGAGCTTCAGGTCGTCTTCCAGCATACTGAGATACAGGCATAAAACTCACTGAAATCTCTATTGTATTACAGAAGTGGAATTGCTGCAGTTGGAGGCCATCTATGCATGTGTGGTTACTAAATATGTCTTACTTTAACAACTTGTTTTAGTCTCTTACTCTGTTGTCTGAATGAATGGTGGCAAAACTATGATGAGGAAGAGCAAAGTGAGGAAGAGATGAAGCACTTACGTGGGCTGTTCCTCGCAGGCTTTAGACTGGTGGCTGCTGGAGCTCTTTGAAGAACTTCCTCGCTCTAAAAAAAACCCACAAACAAACCTCATGAGGATTTGCAAACATATGAAATACATTTGCATAAATATGTTTTTTTCTTAAATATACTGTATTTGAATAAGAAGTGTGTGTTGTACTCACTGTGTCCACTTGGAAAAGAGTGAGATTCCTAAGGGAAAAAAAGAAAATAGAAGTTATTTTCATGAAGCTATAAAATGCATTTGTAGAAGTGAATACTAAATGAAACAGGATTATCTTTCCTCTAGTTTCTGCTTGTTTATATTGACAGGCAAGCATCAAATAAACACCTAAAAGTGTTTTAACCATTTCAATTATTACATTACATATGTATACGTCAATTTGAGTTTGTATAACACAACAAACGCATGCTGTTTCTCTGCATTGTTTTACCAAGGTCTGTTTGCCCTATACAACCAACTAAAGCTTAAACCTTATTCATCATGACACAGTCATTCCACACAGGGACTGGTGCTATGCTGACCTTGGTGGGGAATGGAAACTTGGAGGGCTCTGTTTTGCAGGGGGTGTGTATGGCTGTCAGCGGAGGGGGCCACGACTGAGTCATTTCCTGAAAGAAAGGAAGAAAAAACACACGGGGAAAAAAATGTGAAAATGAGTTGAAAGGTGCGAGTAATGCTCTTTCATTGACTCCAGCATAAGGCTTTTCTCTGAATACTCATGATGGACTGATGGAAGTTTTTAACCAAAATAACATTTACATACCTTCAGAATCTCATCGACACAGTTGGCATCACCAGATCCCTGAAGATAGAAACATCTCAATCAACACGTGTTTATGAACAACAGGATGGTCATTGCAGTGGGTGAAAGGCAGCTTCCATTTTAAGTGGCACGAGTCATTCAATGGCAAAGGCATTTTATGGGACTAGAAGTTCAAATGTGCCAAGTGCAGCATGCTGAGAGCTAATATATTCATTTCCATTATACAGTCTATATACCCTACATGAAACTTCTGCTACAATAGATTTTGCGGCTGCACTACTTCCTTTTACAATCAAAGCTTTTCTTGAGGTTCGTTTACTATCATAGGAACTTTGATTTAATTGATCCTAAGTGCCACATAAAAAAACAGAACACCCCTTAATGAAAAGCCTGTAGATGAGCCTTACCTCCACAGGCTGTGAAGGGATCTTGAGTTTGGAAAGTGAGGCCTTGCTGTTAGACTTCATCTCTCCCATGGTGCTGCTGTGCGACTGTCCACTGTAGCTTTCTGCTTGTGAGCTTTTGGTTTCCGCCGTTTCCTGGCCGTCCATAGGCCGCACATACGCTGTGGGCTTCTGCAGCATGGAGCCAGGCTTGGACATGAGAGACGGGGGAAAGGCCTGACTCGAGTGCTGTCCAGTGGGGAAGGAGGTGTGAACCCGTGAGGGAGAGTCCCAGTTGGCCTCTCGGTCTCGCGGGGACTTGGAGCGGTAGCGCTCTTTACTGTGATGCTGTTCGGCGGACAAGGAGCCCCGCAAGTGGCTGTTGCTGCCGGAGGAACTCAGAGAGCCCTTGGCCGGACTTGATGTGTGTGACTTTGAGTGCTCTGACCCTCCGCTGTGTTTACTCGACTTCTTTTCCCGCACCTCCCCTCCGTGTCTTTGGCTACTGCTGCTGCCGCCGCTACTGCCGCTGCCCCTTTGGCTGCCGTGCCCGCCCTGAAGTCCGGAGCGTTTCCCAGACTGGGATGAAGATCCACCTGCTGCGGGGCCAACAGGAGTCCACTTGCTGCTGCTGCCACCGCTACCGACGGCACGCTGGTCCCCCCCAAACAAAGGTGGGCCCGATTTCTCCTCAGAGGAAGACGAGCTGTTAGAAGGTTTACCGCCAAGCTTAGGAAGTGTGTCACCAATCGGCTCTTTCATCTCGTCGTAATTGCCCAGCATGCTCTGAATACGGCTTGACAGTTTATCTTCCTTGCTGGACTGAAGAGAGAAGCAGAGAAAGGGGGAGGGAGATGTGGGAAAGAGGACAGTGTGATGATGATGATGATGATGAAAGAAGAAAAAAAACAAGACAGACGTAGAAAAAAAAAAAAAAAAGGGGAAAACCATTGAGAACAAATGAACAGAGGAAAGGCAGACAGGAGAGAAGAGGGGGCAGAGAAAACAGTCATTATGGGCACAAGTTCAACACTTGGGTTAATTGCTTTGCATCAAAAACATTGAAAATGGAGAAAATGCATCACTGCAACAAAGGAAAACTTTAAATCACTAAATAAAAAAGAACACCGTTGAAAAGTAGAGTTGCATCTGACGAAAGGAAGAAACCAATTATATCCTAGAGCACGTGTCGTCAGTTTTTCCTTGAAAATAATCGATTGAACGTAGGGAACAGCCAATCACGTGGCTAGCTTGTTCAACACGGGCTCACAAGAGTCCACACCTATCAGTTAACACAGATAAGAGACTACCCAGAGTCCCCACACAGAGGTTAATCAATCACTTTGAGGCCACAGGTTCCAGCCGACCTGCTAGCAATCAGCCGTGACGCTCAGTGCACAATATCCAGTTTCACATGAAGCCTCAGACCTCCCGTTTTGTTTGACAGATTCACGCAGAGGGTGAGGAAACACAAGCCGTTATCTGTAGCTGGAAATCTTAACTAGCTTGGTCATAACATGCAGACACCACTACCTACTGCTAGCACGGCCTGCCTCACACGTGTGTAGCTGGTGAAGTGAAGCATCATCCATTTTCTTATGGGGGGTTGTTTGTAGTGAGAGCAGTGATGACGTGCTGCATTAGGATATTAATAAATCTCCAGTTGAACAGCAAAACCCTTAGCTTTTTGTAAACAACATTATGCAAGTACTTGAAAGGACAAAAGTATGGCACCTATACATGTTGGCTGATAAGGATAAAAACAAAAAGGGAGTAAATTAAAAACACCTGAATCATTACACAGTTTGTTCCCTGTTTACAGAAGAATGACTGCAACACTGTAGTGTGTTGGCAGAAGAAAAACAGTCTGTAAAAATAAGAATGTGTTCCTGGAAACAGTGTATAACTACAGGTTGTTGTGCACAGCTCGTTTCCTTTTTTAGAAACTTTCTCAGGACCCTGTCTAGGAACTCAGGAACTTTACTTCCATGTTGATCAAATGAACCGTGTTGAGCTTTTGGTTCCTGCCCTGCAAACAGTCCCCGGTCCTCGGACAGTTCTTCCCTGCTAGCCAGGGAACTAACCTTTCCAACATTTCAATACTTCAAACAGTAAATTACAAAAGATCAAAACACTAATTGCCATCTCTCTCCAAGTTATCTGCTGTCTTTGCAAGATGCCAACCCATGAAATCATTTTTTCATCTGTTACTTGTAAAATGTAGCCCAGTCTTGGTGGTTCTCAAAATGCAGTAAAAGGACAGCTTTAATGTATTGAATGGATCTGTGATTTTTTTTTTTCTCTTTGTTTTGGCCAACTAGATCTTGGCACTATTAACAAACACGCACATTCGATAATCACGATATATATTTATACACTCGGTATGCTCTATTGTAACAAAATACCAATGTCGAAGTTTATCTTTTAACAGATCTTTTCCTTTTTTTATTCTGTGCAGCTGAGTAAGAAGTGGTGAACTCTGCACCATAAAACTGTTACAGCTTTGCTGGTCTACATCTGGGAGGCCACAGCTGCAGCTGCATGCACACATGGCCTGCAGAACACAGTAAACCTCCACTTAGTGAAGCATGACAGAGATGGAGGAAAAAAGTCAAACTGAAGCTTACATAAGACTCCGAGAAGAGATGGAAAGTGTAGAAGAGCAAGTGACTCAAACAGAAGGCTTTTTCCATTTTTGTTTTTGTACTACACAGTCTTCTTAAAGAGACTCATTCAAGGTATCTAAACCTTCACTCAAACTTTTATCATTAAATCCCAATTGTTCAAAAAAAGAGTTTACAAAATGTGTTCCCACTGCAATCAAAGCATAATGTTACTTTGTTTATTTGAACAGCTGTTCATATTAACCTTTGTTTTGCTCAGGGTTCATAAAAGCTTAGCTAGCTCTGATTTGCTCCGTCTGGTGTGAGATGCAATGAGACAAATCTGCAGATGGGATAGTTTTATTTAAATGATTGTTTTGTTACTTCAGTGACAGTGTATATGAAAACCCAATTAACGTATAAAAAAAACAAGCAAGTATATTCAGATTCAAGGGGAACCCTAACCTTCAGAAACATAACTGCTCAAATGAAGCCTTTTCCAAGCGTTCAAAACAAACAAATACGAACCCGGGCTAGAGATTCTGAAGACCGAAGAACAAACATGCACCATAAAGCTTATTTGCCCTGTGCAAATGTCAAGGGCTTTTTCCTTCTTCAAAGTCAGCTTTTTACCTTTCACTTTGTTTTGGTTCAAAACACACGGGCCAGCACTCATCGCTCACCTCGGCTCCCATTTTCTATTCCCAACCTGTCAGGACACATTCCTCTGTGCCGCTTTGATGGCTCACTGTAGCTAGGAGAGGAGCCACTTGCCTCGGCTAAAATCTGGTTAGTGGCAAAGATTAGACCAGTTTAGAGAAGTCAAATCCTCTTTACAATTATAGTGGCCGGGTGGGAACTGGCAGGCCTACATCTATGTGTTTCTGTGAGCACAGAAGGAAGACACGCGGGGGAAAGGGGAGTGTAGTGATCTCATGTTTACCTTCTTCAGCTGCACTACCAAACACCTAACTGAAGACAGGTGTTTTCAGTTTAGAGCTTTAGTATCTTGTGCAGTTAGTCAATAGCTTAAATACCCTGGAGATAACATTATCTAAATTTAATTCACGACACGTTTTTTGAGAATCATCCGGTATGTTTTTTGAATACATATGAGTAACACCACCACATACTGCGTTGCACACAGATCAGCCAATTACAGCTCAGAATGTGTGCCAGATCATCTGGTTAAAAGAAAGAAAAAGGACTGTCATCATCAGTAGAGCCTGTTCCAACATGTCCCGCATGGATATGAAAGCATTTTGAGAGTTTACCCTGTTAAGCCTTCATCAAACAAACCATAAACAAAACCAAATCTGCAGGATCCTGAAGATCGTTGTTAAAAAAAGGAAAAGATATAAGCAATTCTTGACAACTTGAACGGACATCAAGTAATTGAATTACAACAGATCGTTTTTTTTCCAGACTGTAGCAATGCAGGAATGCAGTCAAACATGTGTTACATAATGTGTGCACACACTCACATGTGTACAAAGACACGCAAAGCAAAGAGTGTTTCCAACTTTGCCACAGAAGCCTGTAGCTAAACATTCTTCTGAGTAAAGCAAGCACAATTGACGAAGGTATGATGACTAAACTGTACTATGGTCAGTTCTCACTTCCTGTCGTGATTACTTCTAAATAAATTGACTAATCAACTACATGTCAACACTGAATGACAGGTAAATAAACTTACCACTTTGTAGGGTTCGGGGAAGAGAGGTGAATTTGCTGGAAAGGCCTCTCCTCCTCCCTGCTGGATTTCTTGATTTCTCCTTTCTCTTTCTTTCATTCGGAGCACATTCCGGTCCTCACGGTTCATGTTGCTAATAACGCAAACAGAACAACAAAAAGTCAAGATAAAAACACGCCGAGGAGAGACTGTAAACACACTTCTTATCCCGTGGCTTTACAGGGATGGCTACAAACTGCGCAGTATCCTGAAAGAAAAACGTCCCAAAGAATTACTCTTAAATGGTGAGGCAACAACTCCGGTTCAATTTCCAGCTATGACTTCTTGAGAAATGAATATTAACTAGAGGAAGTTTCCAAATGTTCACCACAAATCATACTGCTACAATAATCTACCCTCTAATATGAGTCAGTAGGTCCATCATTATTGAAACCCACACATCATGAACAGAGAGTGGATCACAGAGATAACCTATAGAGAAAGTAGTCTCCAATAGGTTTAGGCTGGTCTACACAATGCTCAGTAAACTACTTGAACTGCAAATAATCTGCTTGTAAAGATGGTTCAGGTAAATGTGTAATCCACCTGAAAACAGTCGGTTTACAAATAGTCCTCCAATGAGAATAGAGCTGCAAGATTATTAATGATCTGATTCCAGCTTGTTCAATTTGAGTGGCAAAAGGCATCGGAGGAAACACTGATAAGACATCTTACGGACCAAACAACGAATTGAGAAAATAATCAACAAGGAAAATGTGTTATGGTTGTTGCAACCTTAATTTACAAGTTTATTTATTACAATGTGTGGGGTTGATAACTTGAGTGGAATAGAATACAACTCCATAACTGTGAGCTAAACCAACTATCCATTTGTTCTTGGCATAATGTGTGTGATGAACATATGAAAAAGGAAAAAAGAAGACTTCTGTTACAGAAAGCAACTACACAGCTTGTAAAACAAGAACAAGCTAATTGGCCAGGCGTGTCGCAAGTCATTCAAGTACGAAACTTCTAACTCTTTCCATGACAACAATGACTTTAACGCTGTAGTGAGTGTGCCAGTATGATTATACCACAACTAGCCAGCCTCCTCGTGGATTACTATCATGACACACAGGGTGGTTATTCAGCTGAATGAATGAACAGATGAAATGCAGAGACAAAACTGATTTCAGAAAAGGAACAAATTAACTACACAGAGATCTTAAAACGAGAACTGGTAGATTAACTATTCCAAATGTTTAGACTTTCAGTGTCCTGGACAAATGTACACATTTTCTACATGAGATCGGATTAGGAAAATGAAGCAATAGTATTCTATTGACTATGTATTGCAAGCTCTTGAGAAAATCTGTTTCATGTAGTAGTTTTTTTAACAACTTCTCACTGGTTATCTGTGAGCTTATCAGAAAGTCTAAATAGTAATTTCACAACCAACCTCTTAACAAAGCCTCTGCCTGTTTTACATCATCAACACCCAACTCTGACTCATCGCTCACAACAGGCTACGTGATTTACGCAGTAAAGCTATGAGACATTAAAACCAAATTTCAGCATGCATCCAAGGACACTGAACTTTTGAGACACTCCATTGACACCAGTTCTTTCAGGAGAGGCGTAAAAAAAACAAAAAAAGGAAATCCTATACGTCATCCAAACTTCCATCAACTCCCACTGCTATCACCTCTGGATTTATTTTGACTTACAGCACAGCTAAGAATTCAGTTTCAACTATACATTTTCTAAAACTAAACAACAGTCAGGCAGAATAACACACTTAGTCAAACGTGAGACTTATTTTTCAGACAAAAACGGTCTACTACAGTTTACCATTTACTCACACCACATCAAGTAAATCCATCTTGATGTTAGCCATTTGGCCTTTTCTACCACCCAGCTGACAAGCACCAAGTATCATTTGAAGGTCTATCAAGCTTTTAATGTAATCTGTGGTGAAGGAAAAGGCCAATGTCAAGGCCTGTAAATAACATAATCTACATCTTCCTGGTTTAGAAAAATACATCTAACAAAATGGTTATGTACCAAAGTTGCATTTAGCATGCTGTTACCACACGTATATTTAAATGAGCACGCCAATGTCGGTTTTGGCGAGGGGCTGAACGTGTGAATGGGCCACTGTTAGCACAGAGTTAAATGGTCAAAAGCCTGAGGCACAGAATCCTTTGTAAACACTGCTCATGTCCATTCTGCCAAACTAATTGAGCCAATCTGTTGGTTTTTACGAGTTGAACAGTGGGTTACACCCTGCTATACTGTAGCACAGCACTTAACATCTTCAAGCAGGAGGCTCAATTGTCTGCTTCTGGTTTCTACTGGAGAATAAATGTTTGTATTTAGACCCATTGCAGCCAGCAGTCTCTTCTATGTGTGTGCCTTTGCAAAAATCTGAAAAAGTGACATTTTCATGACATCTATCAAGGAGAAATGAAAAGCTAAACATATCCTCTTTCTCCTATGTTGGTTTTGGAAAGATCACTGTAGTCCTCTTAATGGAGAAAAAAAAACAAGTTTATTTTTAATAATGACGCCAAGTATGCAAATGGGACAAAGAATGTGAAAAACATGGTGCAAATTTGCTTTACACCAACAACTAAATCAAATGACAGTAAAACAACGCCTCTGTGAATATTACCAGACATGTTCTAAAAACTTTGTTTGTTTTGTTTGAATCACTTTAGGTTTCAAAACCCCAAACAAAAATAATGATTGTAACAGACTTTGAGGCAAAGTAAATATGAAAAGTCCTATAGGAAGCAAACTTTTCTGTATAATGGCATGTTTAAATGACCTGTAAATTAATCAAAAACTATTCAAGAAACACAATTAAAATGTATTTATTCTTTAAAAACGTTGAACCTGCTTCTGTCTGCATGGGGGGGG